AATTTTTTTTTTTTTTTTTTTTTTTTTTTTTTTTTTTTTTTTTTCTTTTTTTTTTTTTGGCCTTTGAACCATAACAACTACAATATTTTTCCATCCCTGTGACTGTCTACCTGTGGCTACAAAAGTCCAAAAGCTTCTTCCTGCCTTCAACGATTTCATCAATGAAATCATCAAGTTGGCAAACAATATTCTCAGCTCCAGATCTCAGCACCCCAAAACAGGCTCTCAAATTCTCAACCCTTTCTCTAATTCCAATCTCTGTTTCCCATTCCACTACTCCCTGCGACCCCATCCCTACCCATCCCTCCAATTCCGCCCTCAATTCCTCCATCGCCATCTTCGACCTCCTAAACTCGTACAGCAAAATCCCAGGCCTCCCGTTCATCTGACCGATTTCTCCGGCGACTCTCTGCTGCAATCTCGCCGTCGATATCATAAAAGCTGAACCGAAAAACAGACACCCTTCATACCCTCCTCTTACAAAATTCGATTCTGGCCAACAGTAAACCAGTCCGTAGAGTAAGATCATGAGGAGGAGTGAGCTCACATTTCTCATTGCGTACAGAACTCCCCTGAATCCATTGAATCCGTTAAGCTTTGATTCGATCGATACTTTTTCATCGAATCTTAGAGAGAGAGGTTGAATTCTTGCTTCCATCAGTGCCCGATTCTCCTCCTCCAATCCCACCGCTTCCCGTCGACACCCTGATATTGCTCTAATCACCTGTATTTCAAAAGGTCGGAATCTCTTAGATTATGAACCCAATGCTTCCAAACAAAACAAAATAAAACAAACTAACACACGATGAAAATTTAGATTGGGATTGGTATTGGGATTTTTGAAATGGACCTGGCGAGAAACTTGTGAACTCAGATGGCGATGAGTATCGAGAGAGGAAGTGATATTGAACCCAGCAGAGTAGAAATTTTCGATGCCAGAAATGCCTGATTTGAGGACATGACAGGCGTCCCACAGCTTGGAACTCTCATCCATGTACTCATCCAACCACTTCTCCCCCACAGGCAAATGAAGCTTTTGGACAAGGAGTGTCAATTGGGAATGAAATGATCGGAGAAGTGAAAGAACCCTTTGAAGGAATTGGATTGACATGAAATTATTTGAAAGGTATACCCGTTCTAGATCATCGATCCCTCGAGTCAGAAAGGTATAAAAGCCATTGACAGAGTTGGTGGAGGAGGGATCCATTGTGACCTTGTGGCAAGGAGAGAGAGAGAGAGAGAGAGAGAGGACAGAGAGAGGAAGGGGGGGGGNAGAGGGGGGAGAAATTGATATTAAGAAGGCTGGTATTTAAATTGAAGAAGCATCGAGAAATTAAAAGGAAGGAGTGGGAAGAATGGGAATTAGAAATCCAATTCTATATCTTTTTAGAAGCTCAGGTTTCTAAGGTTGAAAAGGATTGTTGGGAGCAATGATGGGTGTTTCCTATAGGGGGGAAAGGATGATTGGTAATATGCCATTTTCATTGTTAAATGGGCAGAAAGAAAGAGAACCCAAAAAATATTCTAAAATTATCAGAAAATAATTAAATTTATAAAACAGTATGTGAATTTTTGCAGAAGAAGAGGAAAATAAAAACCCCAAAAAGTTAATAGAGAGAAAAAAAAAAAAAATAGAAAAAAGAATCACCTAAACTAAAGTGTTAGCCCATAGGACCACAAATTTCCCATGAACTCCCATCCAATTTCTCCCTTTTACCCTCTCTCCTTTAAAGTAGCTCCCATTTATCACTCTTACATACATAAAGTTGGGAGAGACATAGATAGAAAGAGAATAGGTGTGACAAAACTTTTTTTTTTTAAAATTTTTATTTTTAACTTGTACCTATCTAATTTGATTCAAGTATTAGTACAGTATCTAGTTAATATAGTAAGAAACTCTTGAATGTTCTAAGAACATCGTTTGAAAATTGTGAAAAAAAAGTTGCCAATGGTACTCTAATTAAGAGGTTTATTCTTGTTTTGCATTTTTTCCCACCCTCGAGCAAGTGACTTTTGCTTCTTTAATCTCCAATCTTCCATTCCATTGAAATTTGTGTGTTTGCGAGAAGGAGAGAAGGGGAGGTTGTTCTTATTTATTTTTATTTTTTTTTGATAATCCTAGATTTTCTTTTATTTACTTTCATTGATTTTTTCAAAAGAGTGAAGTTGGAATGATGAGGTTCCTTGTATATAATAATGCATTTTTCGAAACTTTCTACTGTGCTGAATCATTCTTTTTAGGTCTCAATTTTTTTTTATAAATATTTTTATTGCCCTTTATTCTTTGAGGGGCAAAATGGACATGCTCATCTCCCCAAGTCTTCTAGCCCACTTCCTTCCCCTCAACTAATGTTTTTAATATATTTTATTTTATCCCACAATATAAAGTTGCATTAACCTTCCCAACTTTTTTCTAAATTTATTTGTTTCCTTCCAATTTGAATTTAAGTATTCAAATTTAAAAAATCCGAAACAAATGTCTCTGTATTCACAACTAATCTTAGTAGTTTTCACTGTTTGATTCCCATCTTGTTATTTTGTCAAAAAGTTTTATTTTTTCCAGTGAAATAAAAATCCATTTTTTTCCCATCTTATTATTTATCTACTTTTGTGAAAAAATAAAATATTAAAATTATTATTTGATTTTAAATTATATGGTCCAAATTTTATTTTCAATTTGGGAGAGAGAAATAGAGAGATCCCATTCACAAAGAAGCCCATAACTTTGGTAGGTCTTAACTGCGACCTATCAACTGCAAATCTACAAATGAAATTTCATGGGTACGATCAGATGGGTCCCAGTATTTGTTCTTCCTTCACTCCCAATAACTCAATTTATTCAATTAACTGCAGTTATATCTTCAGAGATTCCCTTATGTTTTCCTTTTTTTTACTTCTTAGAATTATTCCCATAATAAATTTGTTTTCCTTCCAATTCTTAGGACTGTGGACCTTGATATCTTAACCCTATAGGTATTAGCAAACAAATAAAAAAAGAAAAGAGAAAAAAAAAAGAGTGTATAAATTAATTCATAAGAATTAATAAAAGGAGTGGCGGAGTTGAGTGCTCGTGGGGTTTTGAAGAATGGGACGTGTTTAGAGTATGTTGGTCTTTTGAGATTGTCATTGGAAAGTGAATTATAAATAAAGTAGGCAAGCTTGCATTATTTAAGGGCATTGATTTGGGCACCCCTCCCCTTCTCTTCTCCCTTTCGAGCACCTCTTCTCCAAAATTACTCCATAACCCTCCTTGTCTTTTATGCTTTGTACTTCACTCCTCTTTTATAGAATTTTTAGTATTTTCCATGAGTATATATATCCTTAGGTCTTCTTTTCCATGAGAAAAAGGTTTCCTTTTCTTTTTTCACCTTGTAATTAATTGACCCACTTTAACATTAAATTTTAAAATCGATATTAAGCTTTGTCTTTCCTTAAGATTTGTGCTTAGCTATGAGTATTTTTTTTATAAAAAATATATAAATTATGAGTAGTCTTATGGTTGGATGGAACTATTTTTGTGATTACTTGATTACCCTTCTTGTCCTTTATACTTTATGATATTAAAATTTTGTGGTTAGTTATGAGCTTTTTGTGTGGTTGGATAAGACTCTTTTTGTGGTTATTGGCCTTTGGATCGTACTGGATTAGTTGCGTTATAAATTTTGTTATTGAATTTTGGCAGTTTTTTTTTTTTTTTTTTTTTTTTTTTTTTTTTTATTGCAATAATTGTAGTCAAATNAAAGTGAGAAGAGGTGTTGATCTTACTATTGAAGTGAAATGGAATCAATTAAAAAACTTAGACACTAGAATAGGATTCAAAACAAAAACACATATCTCTATCTTTGATTGAGATGGAATCGTTTTTTAAGGCATCTGATTTAAATAACACACCATTTTAGTGAAGAAACCAAAAACCCCACTTAAATGCATCCAAATTCTGCCTACTTAGATTGAGGTAGCTGAGGATTTAGGATCTGCAAAATGGTAAAGGGTTGCTTGGTTATAATAGGTAAAGGTGGGATACCTATCTTTTATTATACTTTTTTATTTTCATTTATATCTATAATCATTGGATACCTCTCTTATAAATAATACAAAAGATATTTAAAAAAAGGGCCACTACTTAGGACCAATACAATTCAAGTATAAAACTCCAAACAAAATATAGGGTATCTTATATTATTAGTCTGAAGATAGTTTTAGTGGTTGTGAGATCCCACATTGATAAGAGAAGGGAATGAGTGTTAGTGCAGACGCTTGGCTTCGAAGGGGGTGGATTGTGAGATCTCGGTTGGATAGGGGAACAGAACATTCTTTATAAATGTGTGGAAATCTTTCCCTAATTAACATGTTTTAAAAAACTTGAAGAGAGGCCCAAACATACATTATCTACTAGCAACGAACTGGGGCGGTTACAGTGGTCAAGATTTTTTTTTTTGTTTTGGACAAGAAGTCAAAAGTTCGAATTCTTAGAAAATCTTTGGTTCCTTTAAAACTTCAAAATTGATTGGTTAGACCCAGGCTGTTTTTAAAAATAAATTTGAAAAAAGGAAGCCGGAAGTGCAAAGTGTTTGCATTGAATGAGAGTGGGAAGTCATAGGAAGGGCCTCAAATTGTGAATTGGGGTCCAGGATGGAAGTAAAAGTAAGCAAAATGGATGGCTAGATTTGAGTGGCAAGATCGCTTTCATCATCATCACTGTGGTTAGCCCTTAGGAGAGAAGTCCCTATGGGGAAAAGAATGTTTCACTTTCTTCTTAATGGCCTTAGATGGATACAACTGGATGGTCCATAGCCCCTCAATACATTGAAAATGATTCCAAGGAATATTTTCTTCGCTTACAAAACTTACATAAGTGGGACATCCTTACTTATTCATAATTTATCTCCATTACACTATTACCCTTTCAATCTTATATCACACATACTTACATTTGGTTGCCTCCAATTTTTATTTATTTATTTTTAATTTTATAGATAGAAATTCTATTATTTTTAAATTCATAATTCTTTTTTTTTTTTTTTTGAGATTCGATACATCATCTATTTTATTATAAAACTAATCAAAATCTTTTCATTTTCTCATTAATTAAATAACTATATGTATTAAAAATTAACAATGTACAAAATAATTTACATTTTTTAGTTGAGTATTGTTGGGAGAGGAGTCCTGTGTTGATTAAGAGGTTGATCATAGGTTTATAAGTAAGGAACACTATCTTCATTGATATGAAGATTTTTTAAGAAACCAAAAGTAAAACTATGAAAGTTTATGCTCGAAAAGTTTGATAAGCCTAGTCTTCATGGGTGGCTTACCAAATATTAATCCCATAATAATTTCCATTTTATTATACTTCCCTTTTATTTTTTCCTAAATTGTTTAATAAGTAAGTTCTATTTTAGATATAGGTCGACTATTTACTTTGACAAAAAAAAAACACATTTAAATTATATTTGGGTCTAAAAAAATGATACAATTTCAAATATGGTATTATATAATTTCTAAACTTTAAATAAGATATTATTTTAGTCAATGCCATTAACTTTTCCTTAATCATTTAACAAAAAATTGGACTTTATTTCCAATTATTTGACTTCAAGTGGTCATTTTATTTCAACATAATGGTATAAATGAATGGAAGAGCCTAAGATTTCCAAAAATTAACAATAAATAAATAAGTAAGATTTTTTTTTTTTTTTTTTTTTTTTTTTTTTTTTTTTTTTTTTTTTTTTTTTTNAAAAAAAATGAATTAAAATGATGTTTTGGGGGGTTAAAGGCAGTGGTTGGGTTAGTGTGAAGCAAAATAAGGAGGATCTAACATCAAATCCTATCCTATAGGAAATTGATGGCAATCTTAGCTATAAAAATCATTACCAATTATTATATCAAAGTTTCCTCTCCATTCAAAAAAGATTTAGCTGTCTAAGAAAATTACCAAATTTCAGTACATAAGAATGTCACATCCTTCCAACCAACCAACCCCAAAAAAAAAAAAAAAACACAAATCTTATCCTTTAAGGTTTATGGATTGAACGAAGTGTCTGTTGCTATAACAGCTCAAGTTTGTCGTTAGTAGATATTGTCGTTTTGGTCCTTTATGTATTGTCATTCAGTCTCATGCTGTTAAACGCGTTTGTTGGGAAGAGATTTCCTCACTCTTATATAAGGAATGTTTCGTTCTATTCCCCAACCAATACGGGATCTCACAGCTCTTTTTGTGAGAATAAATGGCTCGATTTCTTTGAAAGAGATGTGGGTATAGAATTCTCAAATACATATCAAAATTTCCTCTTAATATTGTAGAATATGTCTAGTCTAGGTCATTTCTTATGTACCCATCTTTTCTGAGCCTTTGAGAAATTCATTATCCGAAAACCACACTCCGAAGAATTCCTACTAGACATGATAGTTAGTTGTTCATCCCAAGCAAAAGCATGCAAGCTCGTGAGTTCTTAGCCTTTAAATCTTCTTCTCTAAGGTGGAGGTGTACTTCGAAGTTTGCCTGGATGGCATTTGGGTCACCTCGAGCTTAGTCATACGTCATCAACCAAAATATTAGAAGTTCGAGCTTATTTAACTCTTAAAAAATGATCTATTTTTTTCCTTAAATCTAACCACCTTATATTTAAAAAAAAAAAAATCAAAGAAAAATACAAACCAATCATATCTAAGTAAATTGGTTTAACTTTTCATGACAAAATAAAATAATTATAATGTAAAAATCTAAATATAAAACATAAAATCAATCCAAGATTTTTAATATGATTAAAGATCCAACTTGGAAAAGCAAAATAATAATAATAATAATAATAATAAATTGTAAAATAAGGTTGGATAAATGTGCAGAAGATTGGCCTCCTTCCCAACCAAAGAAAAAGGGTAAAAATTGAAATTCACCCGTTGGGTAAACAGGTAAAAAGGAAGTAAAAAATGAAAAGCGACACGTGGCGTGTCATTAAGGCTAAACAAGCCTCCCTTTCTCAATTGACATTTGACCCCACCTTATATTTATTCTAAACTTTTTAATTTAGAATTTAAGCCACTTACTCATTTAGATAAGAACTAGATATTTATTCATAAATAATTATAAAAATATCTCTCCCTATCTTTTTTTTTTTTTTTTTTTTTTTTTACAAATAAATATTTTTATTATTATTATTATTTATTATAGTATGACCAAAGATGGATGGACAGACATAGTTTGAAGCAATTATGCTTCACTTATATTTGGAAATTTAAATTTTAATATAGTTGGCATAACGTGTGGGCTATATATATATATATATATATATATATATATATATATATATATATATATATATATATATATATATATATATATATATATATATATATATATATATAAATTATTTTTTGAATTATCGATTGATTCTATTTTTCAAAAAATTAGAATCAAACCAAGTCACTCAGACCGATGTGAGATATTGGTTTGTAAATGTAACGATATTTTCCATTCCACTGCTAGCCGTTATTATGTGCTTTGACCCGGTCTCACCGTTTTAAAATGCGTATTTTAGGGAGATAGTTTCCACACTCTTGAAATGTTTTGTTCCTCTCCAACCGAGTGTTCTCTTGGTAAAAGTACAATACACTGTTCTGTGAAAATTACGAAATGAGACCTAAAGATTTCATTAAAACGAAAAAGAGAATACGTTGGGTTGAGTTAGGTCGGGTTTGGTTTAGAATGAGCTTTGCTTTTATGAGTGATAATGGGTCAACTACTTTCAAACTAACACACTTCAACTCATTATGAAACTAAAAGCCAAAAAAGTTATCCATTTTTAAGTCAATTCTACTATTATTATTTCAAAGGGTAAATTTATTATTTTTATTGAAAAGACTAAATTACCCTTTTGACTAAACGTTGATGGGTTTTTTTTTAAATTTTAAAATAGTTTAAAAAAAAAAAAAAAAAGCCACTTTGATGGTTCATGATTCCTCCCCACTCCTATAAGTACCTTTTAGTTTTTGCTCTGTCTTCCTTACCCCAAATTAGGAACCCTTCTATTCTTTTATATATATATATATATATATATAATGTATTATTTATTTATTTATATAAAAATTATAAAAATTAAAAAAAAACAAAAAAAAAAACATCTCCACTTTTGTTTGAAAATCAAAGCAACAAAAAGAAACGGAAGCATGATGAAAAAGAAAGGAAGGGTTGTTGTGTTGTTAATCTTATATTATAAGTGGAGAGAATCTTTCATTTTCTAACTACTTTCTTCTTTAAACATAATACTTTCTCAAAACAATCATACCATATAACCTACCTAAACTACTTTCCCTATTTATTGGGTGTCGGGTAAAACTAGTCAAATCAGTCATAATTGCTGAGATGAAGAGAGAAACAATACTAGTAAGAATGTTGAGTCCCAAATGGAGTAGATTATAAGATGAACAGTGCTAGTAAGAACGCTGAGCCCCAAATAGGGTAGATTATAAGATCGCACCTCGATTTGAGGGGGGAATGAGTGCCAACAAAAATGTTGGGCCCTGAAGGGAGGTGGATTGTGAGATCTCACATTGGTTGAAGAGAGGAGCGTTGAGCCTTGAAGGAGGGTAGATTATGAGATTCTACATTGATTGGAGAGTGGAGCATTAAGCCTTGAAGAGGGTAGATTGTGAGATCTTACATTGATTGGAGGAGGGGAATGAGGGCCCGTGAGAATGCTGGACGTTGAAAAGAGGTGGATGGTAAGATCTCACATTGGTTGGAGAGGGGAGCGTTGAGCCTTGAAAGGGGTAGATTGTGAGATACCACATTGACTGGAGAGGGGAACTAGTACCAACGGGACGTTGGACCTAGAAGCGGTAGCTTCTTAGATCTCAAATCGATTGGAGAGTGTAACGCTCATAGAGGTGATATTTTTGTTTTTGTTTTTAAAATTTTTGTATGAATTTGACAGATGACAAGGCTGTTGATTCTGACTCTTTGTGCGTTTCCCCAACTCATCAATCTTCTCAGTCATTTTTGTGCATGCCAAACATTTATGATGAATTTTTAGACGACTTTAATCGAAGGAATGATGATTTGCATAGCCCCCCTCCCTAATATTCTAGGCCCCTCCTTCCCCCAAATACCTTATTTTATTGCCTTCAAACCCAAAACCCATCACTGTTTTAATCATTTAACTATGTTCCACTAATCATAGGCCTTGCAGAAACCCACTGCTCAGTGCCCACATCAGTTTTTTTTTTCTAATGAACTCCAACTCTGCGCACCAGCTGTTCGACGAAATGCCTCAAAGAACTATTTTGCAGTCAAGGCTGGTTTTTCAACCAAGTTTGTGGGCTATGGGATGCGGATGGTCCAAGATGTTGTACACAGCTTCATTACAGCAACTACTTTTGGTGTATGCCAAATTGTCAAGTGAGTTTTCTTGTTCTTTTTCTTTTTATAAATGAAAAAAAGGTTATGGAGTCCAACTACAAAATTGGGTGATGGGTCAGAGCCGAGGGTGGAATGAGTAGAAGGAATCATAAACCGTACAAAAAAGTAGGCTGTTTGAACTTGGAAACCCATTAAATCTTTTGCTTTTGTTAGGCTGTTTGTAGGGCCAGATTATGAGAGGTTTCTGTTTCTGATTTGGAGTGGCTGAGGGCTTGAAGGGCGTAGGCCCAGAGGAGAGCCGCAAGCAATCATTGCTTGTTTTGGATGCTGCGGCTGAGAGGCTGTGTTCTTTCTGTTCTGAGTTTGATGGACTTTCATGGTGGGAAGAAGACATAAAAGAAAAGAAAAAGTTGGTTTTAGTTTAAATGCCACTGATCAAAAGGTGATTGCCGGCGCAGCAATTGCATAACTATGAATTTAAAGGGGGAAAAGTAGAAAACCTCATATTGTTTAATGGGTTTAATGTTTGATGCTCAAATTATTGATCTAATGATGATATATTTTAGAACGTCCGAATCATTGGTAATGCAACAAGTTCGAGAAACTGCAAGTTGAATCAAAAGTTTGAGAGTGTAGTTATAGCATCGTTCATGGTGTACGAAATTTGAAATTGTGTCGGAGTGTCGAATTGTATGCTAAAAGAACAAAGTATGCACGATGCGATTGGGGGTCGGGTGGGTGGGTTGCTTTAGGGAGTGAGTGATGAGCAATGGAATGGATAGATATTAATATGGTTTGTGGGGTTTGGCATGTGCTCCCTTTACTTTGAAAATAAGGGAAAAAAAAAAAAAGAAAAGGATAAGAACTATGAGATCGTTAGTTGGGGAGTAGAACGAAGCATTGTAAGGACATTGGACTTCGAAGGGTCAGTTGGGGAGTAGAATGAAGCATTGTGAGGACGTTGGATTCCGTAGGGTCAGTTGGGGAGTAGAATGAAGTATAGTAAGGACGTTGGACTTTGAAGGGTCAGTTGGAGAGTATAATGAAGCATTGTAAGGACGTTGGGCCCGGAAAAGGGGTGGATTGTGAAAACCCACTTCGATTGGTGAGAAAAACGAAACATTCTTTATAACGATTTGGAAACCTTTCCCGAGCGAAAAACGTTTAGGGGACAAATTGTTTTAATTGTAGTGTTATGTAGGTTAATGGTTGGTCTTTTTGGTATGGGCCGCCATGTCTGAAAAATCAAAGCTGACAGTTTTCTTTTCTACAAAAACCCAGCCCAAAGTGTCAGATAAGTTTTCTTTTTTCTTTTTTTCAGCGGCAGCCGGATTAGGCTGCGCCGCTGCCATCCGCCGCACAAAGTAGCCCACCGCCGCCCACTTCTCCAATCATTATTACCACAACGTCTCTCTCTCTCTAAAGGTGTTTTGTAAGTAAATGCGTTCGTACATATTTGGTTTTTATTTTAATTACATATACATTTCTAATTTATGTCAATAGATTTATAGATTATTAAATCAATCTGAAATGAAATCATATTATTAAGATAATGATTAATTCTTATCTATTCAATTGAATTATATTTAGATTTACCCATTAATGATTTTATTTAAATGAGAAAGAAAAAGTTGTGAAATGGGTTTGTATAATACAATTATAAAATATACTTTCACTAATTAAAAAATATTTATATAAATATAATTGGTTCAACTTTTTCAAAATTTAACATTTCATCTTGTAAAATGAATGAGATGATAAATTTCTTGGTTAATAAATTGAAAAATGAGAAAAAGATTCCATGGAAGTTAGATAGCAAGAGCTTAATCGAATTGATTGGGTCATGTAGGAACATGGTTTAAGTCTACCCATTTGTTGGGATGCCTCGGTTTCATACATCACTGCATTTCCACTTGACACTTATCATCATCTCGTCGTGACTTTATCTTGAATTCTCAAAATTTTTGTCGCTCCATCTCTGCAGTGGCAAAGAACTGCTCTTGCAATTGGGTCATTACGGTTACGGATTGGATGTCTAATAAGGTAGTAATGATAGTATCTTATACCTAAATCGGTGGTTCACTTTTTCTAAGTAATGGAGAAGAGGACCGAAACATGCTACTGAAAAACTCTAATTTTCCCAAGAGTGGAATGATTTAGATATATTAAAACTTTAGAATAAACTTGAAAATTATTTATAGGTTAAATTACCAATTGAATTCTTCAAATCTGCATCTATTTGGCCATCTCAAAAAGCTTGCATAAATGAAATCTTTAACCCAATTGTGCCCTTTATCACGTGTATAAAACAGAAGTGAAATGGAGAGTGAGTTCTTCCAATGCCCTCCATAAAATGGTATGAATCAAAAGCCTAGTTGAAATGGGAAGTTTTAGGAGATACATTTACAACATGGTGCTTGCATTACGACAACAAATCCAATGCTTTTATATCAACCTGAAAAACGGCGTTGCATAATTAGTGTTCGTCTACTCTAGCAGTAGCAGTTGCAGGTTGATCGGTCGGTTTCTCAGAGTTGGTTGTGGGGGAATTCTTCTTACCTGGACCTTTTGATACTTTTACTCTTGCTGGTCTTAGAAGACGTTCTCCGAGAAGAAACCCGCGTCGTAATTCTTGAATGATGATCCCTTCCTTGATCTCCTGCGACTCCTCTCGAGCTACAGCTTCATGTAACTGCAACCAAAGAAATATTTTACCATCATTTGTAAAAAGATAGTCATCTCTTATTATTAGGAACCATAAACCTCCACAATGGTAAGAAATTGTCCACTTTGAAAGTAAAATTCTCATGGTTTTGCTTTTGGTTTCTCCAAAAGATCTCGTACCAATGGAGATGCATTCCTTACTCATAAACTCATGATTAATCCCTTAATTAGCGGACGTGAGACTCTTCTCCCAACAATACTCAACACTTGCTACTCATCAGACAAATTAAATTCCAATTATCGATATACTCGACATGAATTACTTGCAAAGAACGCCCACCCAAGTATAAAGAATGAGAAAATAAATACGTTTTATGTTCTAATCTTCCTAGTAACAGTAAGAAAAACTAGCAAGCATGAAGAACAAGCAACAATCAAACAGACACTTTTGTAGATTGAAATGAAGGTATCAAATTTTAGACAAGATTTTGACTTACTGAGGGATCAAATGGCCTTCCTACAGCGGCAACAGCAGAGATGCGCCAGCTCCTCAACACCTCCACAAATTGTTTGTATATACCCTGGTAGCTTACATCAATTTTCTTCTCCTTGTCAGTTTGAGGAACAATTTGTTGTCTGGCTTTCTCAAAACTGTCGATCATTGGTAATAGACTCTCAATAACCTCTTTTTGGGCATTGTTCTTCACGGTAAGTTTTTCTTTTTCTGATCTTTTCCTAAAATTATCAAAATCAGCTTGTAAACGTATATAGTTCTCTTTTCCAGATGTTATCTCGGCCGACGTATCCGACACTTTCTGAAATAACCCGTCCTTCTCCCTTTCGAAATTTTTTAGTTTCGCTTCAACTTTAGAAATAGTCTTTTGATTTCCATCAAGAAACGCTTCACGGTATACGTTGATGAGGGCCTGTAAACTCAATCCATGAAGCTCATCTCCTGCCTTATTCTCATATTTTCCATCATCCTCTTCTGTATTTACCTTTTTTCATGGGAGGGACAACCAACAACATCGAGTAAGCGAATTAAAAAAAAATAGTAACTAACTTCATCATCCTGCAATGAATTGAACATCTAAAACAGATCTCTGAGTAAGTTGTAAAATAACAAATCATATAAGCAAAAGGGATTCAAGTAGATTAGTGTGCTAAATCCCTTCAACCATTGAGATGCTACTTATAACTTTTAAGCCTAGCAAGAAAATGAAGAGTATGCATACCATAAAGGGAAGAACTTAATGAGAATCCTCCAAAAACTTCCACAGATGCTTTCTATTTCATTTCTCCCTTACTTTCTTGAGTTGAGATAAATATTTTCAAACAACTAGAGTAAGCTATACTTGCACACTTATTTCACTTACAAAGTACAAGAAAAAAGAAAATGGAATCCTTACTCTAAAGAAAGTGCAGATATGTGTTATTAGTTCAGACATAATATAATTCAGGAATGTAGGAGTGAGATCCCACGTCGGTTTGGAGGAGAACGAAGCATTCATTATAAGGGTGTGGGAACCTTTCCCTAGCAGACACGGTTTAAAAACCTTGAAGGAAAGCAAGAAAGGAAAACCCCAAAGAGGACAATATCTGCTAGCGGTGGGCCTAGATCATCACAAATGGTATCAGAGCTAGACACGAGCAATGTGCCAGCGAGAAGGCTGAGCCTCCAAGGGGGGTGGACACAAGACAATGTGCCAGCAAGGACGCTGAGGGGTGGATTGTGAGATCACACATCGGTTGGAGAGCAGAACGAAACAGAACATTATTTGCTAGTGGTGGGCTAGTGCCGTTACAGAAGGTGTTTGAGTTTTTTTTGGATGGCAACCAAACCTTCCATTTAAGGAATGCCAAATTTTGACACAAAAATCGACTTAAACCACCAGCTTATCAAAACCACCAGTCTTTTCTATCTAGAAAATGAAGAACTCTTTCACCTCAAAATTCAGTAATCTAATCAGTGTCACTATGGGTTGGCCATAGCAGCAAAGATCACCATCCAGCACTGAGAAAATAGGAATTCGAAGTTCCAAAAATGCATTTAAAGAGCCCGTACAATAAACACGCAGTATAAGCGAACATTTCCATCTCAAACAATCGCAACTCAAATCCAGCAAAACACCACACGCAAAAGACTAAAATAACAACACGACAGAGAAATAAAAGTACGCAGAATTTCGAAAAACGATAACAACAAGAACTGTAAGCAATCAAAGCAACCAATAAAAGGAGAGTTCAACGTACATTGGGAACAGAATCTTGAGCAGAAAAACACGGTAAGAATGAACGTCTAACCGGAAAAGAATGGGAGGCTGGAGAGAAACTTAATAATGGGTAAGAAAGACGAGAGCGATGGCGAGGATTATGAAGAAAACAAAGAGACGGTGTAACAAGGGACGTGGATTCTATGGCTCTGGAGGAAGTAGAAGCGCGAGGAGAGAAGAGAGTGTAATTAGAGAGAGCCAAAGCCGCCATTGACACAAATTACGAAGAGAAGATGAAGCTCAAACTCAGTGAAGGAATGCCTCCAGTTCTTAGCCTTCGTCTTCTTCTTCCTTCTCTGAGTTTCTGGACATTTCGTTTTAGTTGAGCCCTAGGCCCGAATTCCGACCCGACCCGACCCGAGTTATTGGAGAACGCTAAACAAATTCTACACTCTTATTTAGAATTTTAAAATCTAGTTTTTCCTTTCTATGCATAATTTTTATTATTATTATTATTATTTATTTTTTATGGAGAGAGTCGAGTCAAAACTCGGTTTAAATCTTAATTCAATATTATGAAACCAGAATTTGAGAATCAGGTGCGAAAGAGATTAGAGGTAACTCAAAACCTTATTCGAATTCGATATCGATCTCGGATGACGCGGTTAAAAGATTCAGAGGGTAATCTAACTAAGGTAAGGAGATTCGTATTGCAGCTACTCCACTCCGTCGTGGTCTCATGAATTGAACTTCGCACTAGTACTTCTTAAATGACTAGGATAGGATCTCAACGATAAGCGACTATGTTCTTCAACGATTAAATTCTCTACAACGATAATGAACTGCTACTCAACACTTTTCCCACCAAGCCCATCAAGAGAATTAGCTCTTCGGCAAATCATGTCTCAACCATCCACACTAAAGAAAAGGCCTAAAAATGGTTCAACAATCTCCAAAGCTTACGAACATCTCAAGCAAACTCAGCAACAGAGTATCAGCAAAAATTCAGAATCCAAGACCTTTGAGGCCATCAAACCAAACACGAACTATCATTGACAAACTATCTACTGCCAATGTTCATATTGTAGTCAGCTTCCTGCCTGCCGTGGCCCAAGTACCTAGGACAACAGGGAAAACAAAATAGTCCATCAACATCAACACATACATTTAGATATGAATTGCCTTTTCATGCAGGCCAAACATGAATTTTAAGTGTTTGAAATGACTAGCCATCTAAATAAACACTGATTATCATATCATTATAGGGCACTATCAAACATTTCATTCTACTCAACTTCTGCTCTTTTGCATATTATTAGAAGAATACACTTCTCTGTACTAATATTTGACAAGTGTAACACTTCGTAACAGCTCAAGCCCACTGCTAGTAGATATTATATACTTTGGCCTGTTACGGATCATCGTCAACCTCGTGGTTTTAAAACGCGTATGTTAGGGAAAGATTTCCACACCCTTATAAGAAATGTTTCGTTCCCCTCTCCAACCGACGTGGGATCTCACAATTCACCCCTCTTGGGGGTCTAGCATCCTCGATGCACACCGCCCGGTATTTAGCTCTGATACCATTTGAAACAGCACAGGCCCATCGCTAGCAGATATTGTCTACTTTGACCCATTACGTATCGCTGTCAGCCTCACTGTTTTAAAACGTGTATGCTAGAGAGAGGTTTCTACACATTTATAAGGAATGTTTCGTTCCCCTCCCCTCTCCAAACAACATAGAATCTCGCAACAAGACAAACTCGACAACCATTTGATAGAGTTTAATGAAAGAGGCATGCAAAGGGCAAAAAGAATGTAAATATGTTAGACTAGAAGAATTAGTATCATAGTAAGTAACAAAGAATAATATTCGACATCACCATATATACTTTGACCTATTCATGAAGTGTCTAATTTCTGTTCATATGACTTCAAAATTCAAAACGAACACTTGTGTTCACAAAATTCAGCAATGCCAAAGTATAAAGGATATGAGACATGCGTACCTGTACAGCTACTTCCTTCTACACCCAGCTCCCAGTCTAACACACGACAAGAAAGTTTGTACGGATCAAAGAAGATCATGCGGACTGATTAGGATTCTTGCCACCATCATTAGTGCTAACACCATTTTCAACAGGCGGATTCATATAGATGACTTGACCAAACAACTGAATTGAATTTACTCCAGCTTTAGCTGAGTTGCAGCAGTTCTGGTTCTCAGCAGTTCCTGTGGCAAAGGAAAGAACACTAGCCTGACTATCAGGCGACAAGGTATCAAACTGCACACTACCAATAAGGAGGTCAGTAGACACCATTTGCATTGTCTTCGCAGCATTCAGCTCGCTCATGGAACTTTCATCACATGTTAGTGAAGTAATTTCTTTACATGGGTTGAATAACCTAGATTCACAGAATAACTTTTGCCTGGCTCCCTGCATGCAAGCAGGAAAAGAGTTGAGATTCAACAATGATGGGTTGAATTGTTCCATTGTTGAATCAACGAAATTCATCAGAGGTGAAAACAGCTCTGCTTCACCATTCAGCATCCCAGATTTCGGGAGACCTCTAAATTTCTTTGCTGGGTGAAGAGGAGGTTGTATTGGAGGAGTGGGCGTAGCCAGTTCAACTTCCCAAGGGCTCACATACTTAGCACTCTGCAGAGCATCAATTTCATCCCATGTAACCTAAGACATACGAAAAAGGCAATAACATGAAAACAACAACAATAATAATAATAGCAAATGCTGGTAAAGAGAAAGCAACAGATAGAGCAGAGATAGCCAAAGTTCCAAGTTTTGCACTTGCAGAGAAGTCATCCCGTTTGCGTTCTTTTATTGGCCAAGAGCATTTTTGTCAGATCAACCATACTAATACAAAACACCCAGCAACTGAAACAAACGCCAAATTATCCAACACCAAATAATCCCCGGGCTGCTGCTTACATGATACATGTTCATCATTGAGAGGAAAGATACTCACCTAAGTCACAACTCCAGTTCTTTAACTTAGAATTAGGATAACCTTGCAGACTACTTCTTAATAAGAAAAGAGATATTGTGTAATAAACCAAGCTCACCACTAGTAGATATTGTCTGATTTGATAGGTTACTTATTGTCGTTAGTCTCACGGTTTTAAAATATAGAGAGAGGTTTCCACACTCTTACAAGGAATGTTTCGTTCCCCTCTCCAACCGATGTGGGATCTCACAATCCACCCCCTTTGGGGGTTGAGTGTCCTCGCTGACACACTGCTTGATGTCTGACTCTAATACCATTTGTAACCGTCCAAACCCACTGCTAGCAGTTATTGTCCATTTTGGCCTGTTACGTATCGCCATCAACCTCATGGTTTTAAAACGAGTCTAATAGAAAGAGATTTCCACACTTTTATAAGGAATGTTTTGTTCCCCAACCAAGGTGGGATCTCACGTATGGTTAAAAATGTCAGCATATTTCAAGGGGGAACCAACAGACCATCCCTAATGAAATTACCTAGAGTGAGTGACTCTACTACTTCTTTCGTTTCTTTGTGTTTTTTTTTTTCTCTCCCTCGATAAGAAACAGAGAATTCAATATAAATCCTAAAAGTATGTGTATAACGTCATAGATCCAATCCAATTTCTCATACCTGATTTGTCAAGTTGAGATTAAAAACATAAACTAAATACAAGCAAAACGATCAATAAACTCAGACAACCAAACGAAGCAAGATTCAATACACATTCAAAAGTAGATATGATAGCTGCTACGCATACGGAATTAGAGACAAAGGTCTACCTCAAGCATACGCCATGGAGAACCCATCCAAGGTCCGTGCTCAGGAACAGATGCTGAGGTTACAGTCCCTTGATACCATGTCATCTTCGAATACTCGGTCTCCATGGCCATTTTCACTCTTGTTCCAGAATACCACTGATAATTCTTTGATTCATTCACCTTCTCGACTTGAACAACAAATTCCGACCGACCAGCCCTAGGATAATAAACCAACTCGAATGGCTTAAATTGCGCGGCCAATTCCGCAGCATTGGCAACTGCCTCGGCCGGCAGCTTCCCAATATTCCTCCGGGAGAAAACTTTTGTTCCTCCATCGCCAGAACAATTCTTCTCCAAACTGCATCTTGCTCCACCATTCTGGCTATTCCACCGGCCACCGCCTGCGATAGCCCTTGTGATAGAGGTTGAGGCACGACGAATGCCAACGAACATATCCCCTCTAAGATTCTTCGCGAAAACGACGGAATCACCGGCAATCAGCTTCTTATGATTAACGAACTTACTCCACCCAGTAGTGAGCAAATGCCGCCTCGGCGTCCCACGGTAAATGTGACGAAAATTCCAAACAACTCCATGAACATCAGTAATCGACAAAGTCTGCACCGGCGGATCAGCCCGGTAATTCAAGGGAGGAAAAACAGAATCCGCACAGCACCGCGGCACAGAAAATCCACCGCCATTATTAGCATCAGAAGACGTAAGAATCTTAGCAAACGACTCAATCTTATTCCTCTCCCCGCCATTATCATCACAACGACCAAATCGGGAAACCAGAACAGACTCATCCTGACCAGACCGAATGGGATGAAGATTCAACTTAATGCAGACCTCATCAGAAAGAGAATCGGCATGAAAATCAGTGCTAGTAACGAGACATTTAGTGGCGGGATTAGAAAGAACAGACTGAGAAAGTGATGGTATGTATGTAGCTTGCTCGACATGTCCTTGTACGAAATAGTAAACCTCAGAACCGACAGTGTGAGTATGGACAGACTTGCCGGCAAAAGCCTGCCAAAGTTGTCGGTTCATGCTGCCAGAATCGGACCGGCGGTGATCGAACAGTAGAAGGAAGAACAGGAAATTCTTCTTAGGACAAGAAAAAGAAAAGAGAACAAAGACTGCAAGGAATTGAGATTGAAAAGAAAGAAGAAAAAAAGAGAAGTGAAATGGAAATTGTTGTCAGTTAGGGTTTGTTCTTGATCTTATAGGAGAATCTGAGAGAGATATCTGTGAAGAACTTTGACTGTCTCCATCTTCTTCTTCCTCTTCCTCTACTCTCTCTCTTCAAAATGTCCGTGATCTTTTAGAGAGAGAGAGAGAGAATGGCCCATTGGGTCGGAGAAACAGGAACCGGCAAGGAGAGAAGAACAGACTTACGTAACAGAACGCCTCGAAAATCGAGTTGAAATTACGGTTTTGCCCCGACAGTTACTGAATGTCTGTATTTTTGTTATCTGTGCTTTGTGAAAACGCTATTTTCCACTCTTCCCGCGGATTTTCTTGCTTTTTCAAAATAATAATAATAATAAATTAATTAGCTTCTAATATTTAATTTTAAAAAATTCAGTATTGATTTTTTTTTTTTTAAATTGTATTTTCAAGATACATAATAATTATTAGATAAGATTAGTGTTAAAAGAAAAAAAGAAATATTGTCCATTTTTATTGTAAAATGATATATATCTCAATTTTTATTTATATTGTATATTTTTCAAAATTTCAAATTAATTCTCTAACGTTCAATTAATTTAATATTAATTTATTTTTCAAGGAATTAAAATTAAATTAACTAAACTTTAATTTACTACTTAACAATTCCATTATAATTTGTTGAAACTAATTTCAATTTTAGAAAAATTGAGCCACATGAAATTAAAAATTTATATCACTCTATTAAAACTTTAATCTTAATTAATTTAAATATATATATATAGCGCTTACTTTAATATAAAATTTTAGATCGGCCCTCGAACCTTCCCTAACTTTTCCTAGCATTTCTTTAATAGGCGCATTTTAAAATATCGAGAAGAAACTTGAAAGGAAAAGTGCAAAAAAGACAACATCTACCACCTGAACGTAAGGTTATAATAGTGAGTGGACTATTACAGGAAGCACACAGTATCGTCGTTCACACACAGCGGATACCATCGGAACAAGGAAATGAGAAAGACAGACGGCATAGAACACGCCAACAAGGAACAAAACAAGCTGATCCAACGACAACAACACTTATTATTCCAGACAAGACAGTGACTTGCTCATGACTGCTAAAACTAGAACAGCAAGAGTAAAAACATTCTTACCCTTCTTCGGTCTCGGACTCGGACTCCGCGTTCTGGAGCCATTCGATGAATGGCTTTACATGATTCCAGATCGGAGAACTTTTGTTAGCACCAGCCACGCCCTTCAGGTACCACTCTAATACAAATTCCTCCTCGATCAGGTTGCTGTCGTATAGCGATTTCAGAACCAGAGCAACCTCCTTAGCAGCCTCCGAACTCGTATTGAGACAAAAAGATTCAATGGCACGCAATAGAGCTATCTGTGATCCCTCCAGAGCAACAGCTGCAGCCAAGAAGTTCTTCTTCTTCATCACCTCCTTTGAGAAACCTTTTCCAACGCCATCAAAAAGAGCCTCAACTAAGGCATTCACAATCTCCTGGGGAGTTCCAGAAAGTGATTCCAAAAATGATTTGAGGTTGGCAGCGGAGGAACCCTTCTTCAAATAATCTTTGATCTCGTTGACAAGAGCAACATGGGGAGACACTCCATTTCCATTCTTGTTTCCGTTGATCGAAGACTTCTCATGTTCAGAGGGCTTTTTAGACGACGTAGTTTCTTCGGTAGACAGCATGACCATATCAGCAGTGACCGCACTCAACTGCTCCTGAATACGCTGCTTAGCTGCTTCTAAAGATGTGTCCGTTTGCCACTGCACATCGTCATCGCCGTCATCGTCATCAGCTACTTCGTCTTTACCACTAGCATGGATAGGAACTGGGGAATGATCGTCATCCGAGCCATTATTCTTCTTCTTGCTTGGCACTTTCGTAACAGTTTCCTTTGAATTTCCACTAGTGCTTTTCTTCTTCACCGAATCCTTCTTTAGCTTCTTCTGCTCCTCATCAGCAGCCTCGCCCTCCTTAAGTCTTTCCTTCTCAGCCCGCCTCATAGCCTTCTTGTCTTTTGATCCCTTCTTCTGTTCAGGAGGATTCTTGAGAATAAATGTTGTGATTTTATCCCTCATGTCAACATCAGATATAAATCCACAGGCAGCACATTTCATGGTGATCATCTGCGTCTTCGTGATGATAATCTCCGTTTCGGGGTTACCACATCCATAGCATTGAACATACTTCTTGATAAAGTTCTCGAGCAGACCAGCCAGCTTGGCTGTATCATGTGCACCATTTACAAGAGAAGTCCCAGTTTTCTCATCGAATTTGGATTGTGCACCAAGCTCGCATCCAAAGTACTTGGTAGTGTAAGAAGCAGGCCTGCCCAAGGCTTTTGCGATTTCCACCATGTTAACCACATTAGTCTTAATGCCATTACCTCTACCTTCAATTTTAGTAACCATCCGAGGCATCTTATACCTATAGAAGGCATCGTCACGGTTTGAGGCACCAATATTCTGCAACGCCATGTTAAAACACAAAACGGCAGTACTGGTGAGAAAAGATAGATATCAGCAGTGGTATCTACAAGATGCCCTGTTGTTCTTTGAGCAGCTGGACAAAGCTACCACCCGCGGGCTGTTACTATGACCACCAGGCAACTCAAGATGCATGCAGCCAATAGTCTCAGCGCAGCTGTACTTTTTCCTAGACGTAGGACAATACTCTCCAAGCAATCCAATCGATGACAAAAAGAGAGTGGCCCGTTCAGACATAAAAGGAGTCTCAAACTTAACGCTCTCCACTTTGAACTACAGAACAGCAGACCAGATGGCCAACTTCCTGTGGATTAAGAACAAATAATTATTCTCGATTCTCATGAACTTAAACGTTGACAGTGAACATAAAACATCATCATTCAACCGCAAGTTAAAGTGCACAAATATCATTTAACAGCTGATTTCTACCTTTGGTATAGAAAACTGAACCGTACACAGCAGATATAATGATCTCAATGGAGTAATCTTTAAATGCAGCAATGAAAAGATAAAAAAAAAATGAATTGCAGTTCGCTTTAAATAAAGTTAGATTTTAGAAGATGAAAAAAATAACACAATCAGCCACAAAATATAAGTCAATCTACCTTAAAACTTGACAATCCATCCAATACACAACTGACGAGATTCAACGCATGAAAATACTAGATGGAGAATAATAAAATCGAATTCGCAGAGAAGATTCAATCAGCTTTACATGAATATCCAATCTACGGAGACAATCATAATTTTCAATTACGATCGCCGAGAGATGAAATAAAAAAGAACATCCAAAACAAACGAGAAACAGGCAACTAAATCCACAGATCTGAACACGACGCAGCAAGAAACTTACAATTTCCATCAGAAATCAATAATCGGAGAACCGATCGTGAGGATATCATTGAATCAAAGGTGTATCAACTTATATAATCAATTAGAACAAAACAAAAATAACAAACTCAAAGCATGAGTTGAAAATCTGAGGCCGATATAGAAACTAGAAACAATAATGAAGTTAGATTAACAAAAAAATTACAACAGAGGAAATTATTCTTACAGTGCTAGGTTGTCGTGATAAGAGAAGGAAAAACAAACTGATCCTGAAGCTCTCGCTCTTGATTTCGCGGTGACGAAGATGCCGATGGGATTCTGTTGGGCAGAAGGAACGCCTTTTATACACACTCAAATCAATGGTAGAAAGAAAACCCTACACGTCACCAATTAGGGCAACTTTAAAAAGATTTAAATATTTTCACTAACCGACCGGAGGCGCAATCAAACCCCAAACTTCGTCGTATTTACAACTTTGTCCTTCCCAGTCGCTATTACTATTGTCCTTTTATGATTCTCAATTATTGTGAAATAAATTTCAAAATTATGGTAGATCCCAATATGGTAATTTTGAGCAACCCGGAGGGTATAAATGGAAAATTGAAAATTTTAAAAATATTGGCGGGATTATCATAATTAGATGTGACTTCAGAAGTTACCATTTAAAACAAACGTTAAATTAAATAAAAACCGACCTTTTTCAATATAGCCCCTAAAATTTGAAGAAATTAAAATTAAAATTTATTTTTTAAAAAATACCTTTTTTTTACAATATCATTTATATAAATTGTTTTTTTTTAATTATTAAATATTAATATTTAAAATTTTTAATTTTACAAAATAGGACATTATTGCACCAAAATTTCATAAGCATTTTAAACATATTTATTATACAAAATAATTTATAATTTAAAACACATAGCTACCTCTTTTTTCAAAATTGTTTTAAGCATTTTGTTTTGTATCAAATTAATAAAAATTATGACTTCATATTAAATTAATAAAAATAAAAATATTCTTGAAATTTTAAAAAATTTAATTTCAATATATATAATATTTATACCGGATACCGTCCTTGCTTATTCTCTGTAAAAAGAAGTTCACGACCCGTAGGCCTTCTACCTCCACACGGCATTGTTTCGTCAGGCTTTTGCCCATTGCAAAAAATTCCCCACTGTTACCTCCCGTAAGAGTCTGGGTTGCGTCTCAATCCCGAGGAGCAAGTAAAAATAGAAAAACTCACATTAGGTTTAGAGATAATCAGGCTCGAACCGATGACTTCCGCCACGTCAAGGCGACACTATCGCTGAGTTATATCCCTTCCGGGCGGTCCGGGGGACCTCCTCGCCTCCATTTTTTTCGAGAATCCACACATCCCTTATCAGTATATCTATCTCTCAAGCACAAATTTAGGTTTTGTGTTTAGTTACCAACCGTTGAGGTTGGAACTCTGAACAGACTGTCGGTGATAAGCTAGAGGAAGTTGATTATGACGTCTTAAAAATTTCATTAATACCCCTTAATTTTAAAAAAAATTAAAAATAGTTTAGGTTATTATTTAAAATTTTAAAAGTAATATTTAACCCTTTATTTTTATTAGAAAATGCTTTCTTTATGAAAATTATGAATGGACACCTCATCTATAATTTTTAAACTTTTTAATGTTATTTTATAAATTATTTATAATATTTTTAAACTTTTTAATGTTATTTTATAAATTATTTAGGAGTGTTTTTAAAACGTCATATTAATTATAAGAGTATTTTAAAAAAAAAATTAAAATTAAATTAAAGATATTTTTAAAGTCTTTTTTATAAAAGATTTTAAGGTATAAATGGAAGTTTAATTAACTCGTTCCATACAAAAAGACAAATTTACCCTCATTTACTCAATCACCCAAGCACTTCTCATGTGACCACAGAGGACCGATTGTAACTGAAAACCTGTGCTCTTTCTTCTACAACAGCACTATTTTGTATTTCCCTGCAACCGTCATTTTTAAGCCAAAACGTGTCAAATTTGAAACGTGTCGTGTTTTCATTCGTCATATTTTAGATAGTATTGTTCTTACATGTTCCATCGACACGGTAAAAAAACTCTACGCGGTTTAAATTTTTACACCGCGATTCCAGCATTTCGCCGCGTCATTTGCTTAAGGCTTTCACTTTACTCTTCATTATTAAAAACCTTACGCTTCATTTACCGTTCGTCAGTTTTCATCTTCCTTTCCCATTTCTCTGATTTTCTCGAAAAAATCGAATCCATGGCGCGGTTTGTGGTTCTCTTTGCTCTCTGTGTGCTTCCCGCACTCATCGCCGCTACCCGCCCCGTCAGGACTCCGTTTGTTGTTCGTGGTAAAGTCTACTGTGATACTTGTCTTGCCGGCTTCGAAACCTCGGCCACTACCTACATTCCCGGTATCTTCTTTATCTTATACTTTATTGTTGTTGATCGTTGAATTCACCGATCTTTGCCGGATTTTGCTTTGATTTCGTTGTTTTTATGTGAGATGCGTAGTGGTTGATGAATGTGGATGTATTTTGTTATTGTCTGCTTCGTGTTCCTTCTAGATCTCTGTTGTAGTGAGAGGTACTGTTGTTTAGTGGCTTGCTTGCTAGTTTTATGGAGTATGAGATTGATTTGTTGTGGATTTGGTGTCTCGATCTTGACTACTGTCTGATGCCATGTGGAATAAGCCAGCGTTTAACTATATGGATTAATTTAGTCCTAATTCTCATTTTTGGTGCGTGTCTTTTTTAATCGAGGCCTGATCTGGCGCTTAAGTTAGTCAATGGCTCTTGCTGGTTGTGAGAAACGGGATTTATTTTTGTTTATTAAGACTTGGTTACTTTTTTCTCTATCTACATCGTGCACAGCTTTTATTTTAAGCATTAATTTTAAACATGTTCGCTTACACTAATATTCTTTCTATTGATTCTGTATTTAAAGTTTCTGATTCCATTTGACGTCGAGTGTCTATCTGGATAAACGTCTCTAATTCCATTCGAATTATTCCAGGTTTCTGTCTCGTGTTCCATCTGCTATGTGGAATCTGGATAGTGATTCTGTTTTCTCTTGTTCTTCTTCTTATGTGATTCTCTTTCTTTACGTAAGTTGTGTTCAAAATAACATCCACTGCTCACGATCCCCGTTTGCAGTCATTGTTTATGTCTTATTAGTGGAAGATTAAATAAGCCCAACCTATCAGTTTAAGCTCAAGATTTTAGGTCTTGAAATAATTTAAAATGGTTGTAGGGTAAAAGATTTTGGGTTTGACCCATTTAGTGTCTTCTTTTTTTCTTTTCTTCTCCATTTGTTAGTTCTTGGGCAAAATTTCTAGCCCATAATGGAGGAGACTAAGGTGCTTAGGATATCAACACCCAAATTGATTTCTAATTACTGAATTTTGTAAAATTAGGGAACCAAATAGAAACTTGAGCTAATTTCAAATAGAAAGGCAACTGAGATATAGCCCACATCCACCAAGGAGCTAACTAATCTTAATGTCTATCTTGCACAATATAATCAAACGCTCTGTCTTTTGCATCATGGCTAAGTGGGTTGGATTAATGTATTCTTGCATTAAATCATCACAAAATTCCTATCTTGATTTGGTTTAGGATATAAATTTAATCTACATAGTTATATATGTAGGTTATCTGATATTGTAGAGATTTGAGAGGTGCTTAGTTCACGGATATAAACTTATCTCTCAATTATGCAATTTCCTTGTAGGTGCTAAGGTCAAAATCGAATGCAAGAACAGGAACACCATGGAACTTCTCTACAGCCAAGAGGCCACAACAGACTCCACTGGTTCTTACTCACTCTTAGTCAACGAGGACCACGAGGACCAAGTTTGTGATGCTTTGCTAATCAGCAGCCCTGAGAAGGAGTGCTCGGCAGTATCTGAAGGCCGTGACCGTGCCCGTGTGATCCTCACCCGCTACAATGGTATTGCCTCAAACGACCGTTACGTCAATGCCATGGGTTTCGCAAGAAATGAAGCTTTGTCTGGCTGCAACCAAGTCCTCAGCCAATACCAGGACATCGAAGATTAGATCTGGCTTTAGTTCCAGCAATTACTTAGTTGTACTTCTGGAGGTATATTTATTCAGCTTATGCTAATACAGTCTATATACGCTTTATCTACATGGATACTTAAAAATGCTTAAAAATTGTTAGTAATGCTGTGTTTATTCACTTTATTATAATCCACACCCTACAAATAGTGTTTATAAACGTAGGCCTCCGAAAGTCCACTTTGTCAGCGAGTTACGGCCCATATCGGATAAGTTTGTGGGCCTGTGAGGCCCAACCCATTTTAAAAGCCCAATTAATAAATATTATATTAATTCTAATTTCAAATAAAGTTTTTTTTTTTTTTTTTTTTTTTTTTTACACCAAGTGCAAAATATCTATGCGTTGAATAAATAAATGAATTGCACGATATTTTCGAAGTTTCTAAATAGCGAACCTCTGAAATTGACCTTGATATTAATTGATTAGAGGTAGCTCAAAGCCCTATCCGTACTTGATCTTGGTCTCGGATGACGCAATTAGAAAATTTGGAGGGTAAGCTGCCACGGGTTCTCACCGTGAAATAATTGCTTAACAAATACCACATGAACCTCCCATAAATAATAAATCTATAAGGTTAAATGAATAATAATAATACCATATAAATTGGCTTAAATTCGAGTCAAAAAAGGCCAACTTTTGAGCTATTGGGGTAATTTTGACCGAACGGCTGCCCCCACCTTACCCGACTTGATCAGAAGAATATGAAAGGGCATGTTCTTGATCACACGTGTTCAGATACACCTACCCAATTTTTCATAGTCTACAATAATAATAATAATAATAATAATAATAATAATAATAATAATAATAATAATAATAATAATAATAACTTGACTGGTTTAAAAGGCACGTGATTTTTGCTTCCGGTCTAACTTTGAACCGGTCCCACTTGCCATTTTGGCGGTGTCCGCTTCCGGTTTACTTCCATTTAGGTTAGGTAGCGTTGTTGGTTTGTTATCAAACCCGAGCTTTAAAGCAACCGCACTGGTCCTAACTCCCACCCAATTTTTTTTTTTTTTTTATATATATATATATATATATATATATATATAAAAAACTCACACCCACATAAATAAATTATTTATTTGAATTTTTGTTGAATTAAAAAAATTATAATAATTTTCTCAACTTTTAATTTTATATATTTTAAAGTTCTATCTTAAATTAAAAAAAATAAAAGTTTAATTACTTTACAATTTTATTGAAAATTGAAAATTTATTTAATTTAATGTTTTTTAAAATTTAATGGGTTGGTGAGCCATAGACTTGGTCCTTTTGTGCTATCCAAAGGTTATTTTGTTCCCAAATTGCCCCCAACCCTCCCTCCCTTAATTATCCACCAAAAATAGATAAATAAATAAATAATTATTTATTTTTTATATTTAACAAAAAGGCTTACATGATAATAATATTAATATATTAGATTTATTATATTTTATAAATTGTTAATAATTCTTAAAATTGGACTAAAATGGAATTTTGATAATGAAAATATAAATATTGAGATAAAATGCCAATTGTCAACCAGAATCGAAGCCTACCACCCGGAGGGACCCTGCTTGGAGCGATCCTGGAACCCCACAAGCTTACAAAATTCCTGCATTTTGTTGTTTAAAAACCTGCGAAGTTGTGGGGAAATTTTGACTGATTCGAACGCCCACGCCTCCATTTTCAATCTCTGCTTCGATTTTTTCTATATGCATTTTCCCTCGTTTTGTTCGTAATCATAATCATTTCGGGCGTTTTCAATTTCTTCAATCTTTCCGTCGAAAACGACTCCATTTCCTCAATCCCCATTTTCATCGGCTTTCCCATAATCTCTTTTCGTAATTTGTAATTATTTCTAACCTTATTTTGTTGCACTGTTCTCCGCCTCGGTTTCGTCGCTTGGTTGAGATATTAAGGTACGCGTTTCTGAATTTGTTTCTTTTGTATCAGATCAGCATTTCTGTGCATCGCGTTTTGTTTTGGTTCCGGCGATCGTTTTTCAGCGTCTGTAGGAGTCTGATTCTTTGATTTTTTATATGTTTTTTTTTTTTTTTTGTTTCTAACTTATTTTCTGTGTTTTTCCGTGATTTTATTTGGATCCTGGAAGTTTGTCTTCCATGATTTTGAGATCGGCATTTGAATTTGCTTGTTGTTTATGCTTTTGATATCAGCATTTGAATGTCAAGACCTCATGAGTTCTGGTTAATGTCAACTGAAAATTGGAACGAATTGTTCTTGTGCCTTCAGTTCATGTTTTATTCTTTAAGTATCGTCAATAATAATGTTTTGGCCCTCACACAATGTTATCGTTCTAGTCAGATTACGAAATTGTAGTTTCTGTTTATTGATATGAAATTATCCACTTGGAAAGTTTTGCTGAGGTTTTGGGATCATTTGCTATTTTCAGAATGGCTGCTGCAGTATTTCACCAATCTCTTGGGACTTTTCTTCCCCATGGACAAGCTAATGTTGCAAGTAATGTGCCAAAATTAAATTCAAAATGTTTCAAGGTCGAAGTTGGGATCTTCAGAAAGAAGTCTCCTAGATCTAGAAATACTTCTATAAGAGCAATTCAATCATCTTCTTCTCAAACTTCAGTTGTTGATCCCATTTTATCACCTTCAATCAACACCTCTGATGACTCGCAAAAAAAGCAGAGTAAGTTGGTTTGTTTCCAACAATTGTAGTTTTAAGTGAAGTAGAGGTGTTTGTTGGTCACTCTTTGTATAATTCTTCAACTTATAGGCTGAAGTTCTTGCTTTCTGAAGTATTTTTTTTTATGCTAATGTAATTCTGTACATCATCAGATGAAGCTGCTTTGATCTTGATTCGACATGGAGAATCGTTGTGGAACGAAAAGAACTTATTTACCGGCTGTGTTGATGTGCCACTGACCAGGAAAGGTGTGGAAGAGGCAATTGAAGCTGGCAAGAGAATCAGTAACATACCTGTCGACATGATCTATACGTCGTCGCTCATTCGTGCACAGATGACTGCTATGCTTGCCATGACTCAACATCGTCGTAAGAAGGTAATTAGATATTTTTAAGTGCTTTGAACTTCAAAGTTATTTTTTATGTTACCTTAAGAGTTTTGACACCCTGAAGCCCTGAAAAGGGTATGGAAAAATGTCCTTAAGCAGTTCTGTAATATTTGGATATATCTTCATTTTTATGATCATCTGTATGACCATAACTGTAACGATCCAATTTTTGATACCTCGAATCACAGGTTGCCACGTATACTCAAGGGTAAAAACGGCGGTAAATTTTTCTTGTGAAACAGGAGACTCAAAAAATTTAAAATTTAAATATGCATTCAAAACCAACATAAAAGTAGTTTAAAGGTATATCTGCGGAGTCAAATCAAAACGGTTATACACGAAAAATTTACTGCCCTTTTTACCCTTGAGTATGCGTGGCAACCTGTGATTTGAGTTATCGAAAATCGGGTCGTTGCAGATTGGTATCAGAGCTAGACACCGGGGTGGTGTGCCAGCGAAGACGTTGGGCGCCTAAGGAGGGTGGATTGTGAAATCTCACATTGGGTAGAGAGAGAAACAAAACATTCCTTATAAGAGTGTGGAAACCTCTCCCTAGTGGACGGATTTTAAAACCTTGAGGGAAAGTCGAAATAGGACAATATCTGATAGCGGTGGACTTGGGCTGTTATAATTTTATTTATTTATTATTTTTTTTTTTTGTACAAGACCATGTTTCACACCTACACTTGTATTCTCCCTATCTACTATTACATTCCTTTTATTAGCCAACCTCTTACTAACTATTCATGCATGCATATAGGTTCCAGTTATTATTCACAATGAAACCGAGCAGGCAAGGGTTTGGAGTCAAATATTTAGCGAAGAAACCAAAAAACAATCCATCCCAGTAATAGCATCTTGGCGATTGAATGAAAGAATGTAATTGTCACCCCTATTTTACCCTCTTTGTTATTCATATTAAACTCCTCAAACGTCTTTCTAAAATAAATGCTGTTTGCAGGTATGGGGAACTACAGGGTCTCAATAAGCAGGAGACTGCCGATAGATATGGTAAAGAACAAGTCCACGAATGGCGTCGGAGTTATGACATTCCTCCCCCAAATGGCGAGAGTTTGGAAATGTGTGCGGAGAGAGCTGTTGCTTATTTTAAAGACCAAGTATGATGGCTGCTCTTTCGCTCATGTCTCTTTATATTTGACTGCATCTCCCGCCATTGTTGGAGATCAAGGTTCATCGTTTGAGATTCTTTCGTCTGACTGCTTAAGTTTTGCCCTGCAGATTGTCCCCCAGCTGCAATCTGGAAAGAACGTAATGATAGCAGCACATGGAAACTCATTGAGGTCCATAATCATGTATCTAGACAAACTAACTTCTCAAGAGGTAATATACCATTTCATTACACTGGCTTGACCATTTTATACACTTTCCTTACACTATGAGATCTCACGTCAGTTGGAGAGGAGAACGAATTATTCTTTATAAGGGTGTGAAAACCTGTTTCTAGTAAACGCGTTTTAAAACCTTGAATGATGCCAGGAAGGAAAAACCCAAAGAGAACAATATCTGCTAGTGGTGGGTTTGGGCTGATACAAATGATTTCAGAGCCAGACACCAAGCAGTGCGTCAGCGAAGACCTAGATCCCCAAGGGGGTGGATTGTGAGATCCCACATTGGTTGGAGAGGAGAACAGAGCATTCCTTATAAGAGTGTGGAAACCTCTCCCTAGCAAACGCGTTTTAAAAACCTAGAAGGGAATCCTGAAAGAGAAAACTCAAAGAGGACAATATCTGCTAGCGGGAGGTTATATACGCCGTTATGTAATACATGTCATCAAAAATATTTTTCAGGTTATTAGCTTAGAGCTATCAACTGGAATACCCATGCTCTACATATTTAAAGAAGGAAACTTCATTAGGAGGGGAAGTCCTGCTGGACCTTCTGAGGCAGGCGTTTACGCCTATACCAGGGTACGCGATTTTATCCTTCTCCTTTGTTCCCTCTACCACCACAGGAACGGCCCGGTCTGCCGTGCCCATTTTATCCTTCAACGCTCACTGTCTGGTTCTTTCGGGTTCGGTGCAAAAAAGATATAAATGATGAAAACAACTCCTATAAGAGAAACATGCTGAGTTCTAACGCTTAGTTTGGCTTTTCATTCTGTCATAGATTTAGTACTAAAACCTGTTTTAATTGGAACGTTTTGCAGCGTTTGGCTCTCTACAGACAGAAGTTAGATGAGATGTTAAATTAAAATAATGTTGCAAAACTACAGGTAACCATCATTCTTCCTCTTTCTTCAACTCATTACAGATCCATTTTGCTGATATATTTTATGTATATTATCGTTTGTTCTCAGGATATTACTTCCAATTGCACTGCAACTATTAATGACGTGCTTTTGTGGTAATTAGACTGCAACGAAAAGAAAAATTCTCCGACCTAGAAGAAGAGTTTGATCGTAGTTTTTTCGTTTTTCCTCAGAACTGCAATTATACAACTAGTTTGCAAGTATTCTCCTTCGTTCGTTTGATTGTTCGTTATTGTTTTTATTATTGTTTGGGGTATTGAATCTCTGTGCCAAACCATGTAAGGTTGAGGTATATACCCATTGTAGTGTCTAGGAAAGTGTTTATTAAATAGCTATTGAAAAGTAGATGCTTCTCTATGGTAGTAATGTGTTTTTATTAGTACTCTGAAAATGGAGTGAAGAACATAATGAACATTTTGCTCATCTCAAGCCACAAGAGTGAAGATAATAACTTCCCTAATCACTCAGGTTTTCTTAAAAGCTACATTTCAACTGATAATAAATATGCATCAGACAAAGATATCGAAAGGATGTTCCACATCTCCGATGACCAATGAATACGACCCTTCGTCAATTACCATCAATCCCTCTTCGTTAGCCTTACTTGCATGCTCACAAGGGTTCAGCAAAAACTCAACCTCACTTCTGTCTCCAGCATTTATCTCCACCTTCTTGAATCCTACCAATTGCTTCAAAGGACTCCCGTTTACGGGTTTTTTAGGCTTCACGAATAGTAATACCGAATGCTTACCAGCCATTTCCCCTTCGTTTCTGACTCCGATCGTGACATTCATAGCCTTGCTCTCACAAAACTTCTTGTCCAGCTTCGAAACGAGTGTGTAACGAACTGAGTCAGAGTTCTTGGCTGGCTGAGTAGCTGTTGGATGGCTTAGGTATAGTTTGTTTTCAGAAACTGATGTGAATTTATAGAGAAAGTTAGAGTAGCTGAGACCGTAGCCGAATTCGTAGACTTTTGGTCCTGTATAGAAGCGGTAAGTACGACCAGGGTAGCCTAATGAAGAGTCTGCTCTCATTCTCATGTCTGTCATAGGAACCTTGATGAAATTTTGTGGATACCAAGTTACTGGCAATCTTCCTCCTGCACACCAACATGGAAAGTAAATGGGTAAATATCATGTCGTTCCAGTTCGTTCGCTAACGGTTAAAGATTTCAAGCTTAAAGAAGTGTTGGTTAAAAGAAATGTTGACCTGGGTTGTGATCACCAAATATGATCTCTGCAATTGCAGTTCCTCCAGCTTGCCCTGGATAACCAGCCCACAATATGCTTCCTACCTTCTCATTATACTTAGCTGAAGATATATCGACCGGGCCTCCAGAGAGAATCACCAAAACGACAGGTCTTTTCGCAGCTTTGGCGACTTCAGGAATAAGTTTATTTTGTTTTCCAGGTAGCCCCAAGTATGTACGATCGAAATCTTCTCGTTCTTGGGTTTGATCGAGCCCCATAACCATCACGACGTAATCCACACTTTTCACTATCTTCACTGCTTGATCAATCGTAGCATCTGTACAGTTAGCCCAGTTGCAGCCTTTGTGGTAAATGGTTTCCTTAACATAGCTCTTCAAACCCTGAAATGGGGTAACAAATTTGCAAGGGATTCCTGCATAATTCCCTATCAGCATAATTGGGTTATCAGCATTGTGGCCAATAACAGCAAGTGAGAGTGTTTTTGACTTAGAAAGTGGAAGAAGATTAGCAGAGTTCTTTAGGAGAACAATGCCATCTCTTGCAGTTTGGAGAGCCAGGTTTTGATGCTCCCTTGTGCAAACTTGGTTTGGACCGATGTGGCCAAACGGCAGTTTGGTCGGGTTGCCATCGAACAAACCGAGTCTCATTCTAATAGAAAAGAGGTTGTGGAGTGCTCGGTCTATATCGGTAACGGCTACCACGTTCTTCTCCACAGCAGATTCTGTGTGCTCCTTCAAATATGAACCACAGTTGACGTCCATTCCTGCAAGCATTCATATTTTGGTCATGAATCAAATTAAGAAATTTTTCATTTTTCGGGCTTCACTTATTTGGGCCTGTTGGGCCCATTGGACTACAAAAAGTCCAATCAGTAGGCCCAGTAACATGTTTTTTTCTAAAAATATATTTGTTTACATTATTGACACTATTGGGCCCATTGGTTCACTTACTTGGGCCCACTGGACTTTAAATATACTCGTTTACATATATTGAGGATTGAGGACACTATTGAGCCCATTGGTTTCACTTACTTGGGCCCACTGGACTTCAAATATATTTGTTTACATATATAATACATTTTTTCTAATAAAAAAAACTAAATCAATAAAAATATACATCACTCCAAGTTCAATAATATACTTAAACTTTCAAAAAATTCTCAAAAGTACCCTTCCCATTAGTATGGGATAGAAACCATTAATATTTTGTTTAAAAAATACTCTTCAACTTACCATTAATACCCTTTAACGGTTTTTAAAAAGTTCAAAATATCTTAAATGGTGGTACTACATTAAGATCCTTTACCTTTATAAAAATAAAGATTAAAAAAATTCTAACGAAAACTATCTATCAACATCTCATAAATTATCTACAAACGTTTTAACGATACTTTGGAAAGTTCATGAATATTTTTTTAAAAGTGTTTTTGATTCTAATTTTATTTTTAAAAAATATTTGAAAAGTTTAGAGGTATTTTTGAGATAGTGGAAAGGTGAAGGAGGCTAAAAAAATCTTTTAAAATTATAAAAATAACCCAAAACTTGGCATAAAAATATATTTTGTGATTCAGAAAGTCAACGTTCAGTCAAGCAATACTTTGAAAATAGATTACAGAAATACAAGTTAGGGATGGAAGTGAAAATACCAGCTCTAAGGACATCAGCCACCGCATCTTCTGGAGTTTTGGCGTAATTATGCGTCTCATGAACCAGTGACACTGCATCACAGTCCGACACGATGTACCTGCTCGTTGTAAAAATATAATTATAATGTTCAACCATCAACCAAAAAATCAATAACCTAATAATCGGGAATATTCGGGACAGGGCTCGGAAATATAATCCATGTTCCTATTCTCGTTTAGCACGTTCCCTTTCAACTATGAATAAGGTATTCGAGGGACTCCGACCTCAATTACATTTAGCACATTCCATTTCGACCATGGATAAGGTATTTAAGGGACCCCAACCTCAATTACGTTTAGCACTTTGAGATCCCACATCGGTTGTAGAGGAGAACGAAACATTCTTTATAAGGGTGTGGAAATCTCTCCTTAGCATATGCGTTTTAAAGTTTTAAAACCTTGAAGGAAAGCCCGGAAGGAAAAATCCAAAGAGGACAATATTTGCTTGCGATGGGCTTGGACTGTTACAGGCACGTTCCCTTTCGACCATGGATAAGGTATTTGAGGACCCTGACCTCAATTACGTTTAGCATGTTCCCTTTCGAACATGGATAAGGTATTCGAGGGACCGACCTCTTAATTGAGGTAATAACATTTTAACCCATTAAACTAAGAACAATGCTTATGAAGAGAATGGGCATTGAATAAAGAGAAAAAGAAGGCCTAACCCATTAAACTTCCATTCTCTTCTTGCAGTAGCAGTCAATAGATGATGATCAGCACAGCTGGGCACCCCATTCACCTTGTTGTACGCACACATTATACCACTCGACCTCCCCTTCTCCACACAGCTCTTAAATGGTGGCTGATATGTATCAGCCATATCCTGCATCGTCACCTGCATCCATATCCCCAATGCCCAACAATCCCATCAGTCCAAATTCCAATTCCATTTTCAGTTCCACAAATCCAAATCCCAGTTACCTCGGCGTCGAATACGTATCGAGTGATCCCGTTCCACCGGTCAAGATCGTAGGCGGTGAAGTGTTTGCAGCATGCCGAAGCTTTGAGTCTGTTCCCAAGCTTCCCTCCTTTTTTGGAGTCCCCTTGAATCCCTCTCACATATGCTACTGAGTAAATTCCTGCCACTGTTGGATCTTCTCCCGGTGTTTCTTGCCCTCTTCCCCATCTTGGATCTCTGAATACGTTTATGTTTGGCGCCCAAAATGTTAACCCCTTCGCTTGCCCCACATTGTACACTGCTCTCGCCTCTGTTCCTATCACCTGTATCGTAGATTCATAGACTAATTCATGATGGTTCGTAAACTAGCAGAATGCCCACCAAGTGTTTGACAAAATGAAATCGCTATTGATCTGACTCAAATTCATGTTAAACTACTACTACTAAACTCTTAAGTTAAGCTGATGGATATACCACTAAGAGCTAAGAAATCAGCAAAAATTTGAAGGGAAATGGTATCCGGTTACAATAAGCTTCCTCTTCTGATACCCATTGAACTACTGCTAAACCATTTAACCCTAAAACTTACGTGAAATTGAAATTTAGTTCGTATTGTGAACAGAACTAGCAAGAGAATCAACGGAATGTGTTTGGTTGGGGATTTGATTATACCTTTGCGATTCGGTACCAGAGATCGGCGTCGAAGGTAGCGGCGGTGAGGATAACCTGAGGGAAGCTAGTGACGGCTTTGATGGTGCCGTTGAGGCGGATGCCATGGCGATTGGCAACACCGTGTAGGGCCTCCGACCACCACTCATAGGCGGGGATACCGAGGCGGGGGATCGCCGGAGCAGTGTTGACGAGCTGGAGGATCTTCTCATTCAATGTGAGTCGAGAGACAAGATCGTGGGCTCTTTTCTTGATCGACAGAGAGGTTTTGCAGAATGGGAGGGTTTTGGTGAGTGAGTTGGAAGAGTCACAGGCGTACAGCGGCTTAGAGCACGAAGCGGCGCCGGTAAGGGAGAGGACGGCGAAGAAAACGGCGGCGAACATGGGGAGTTTCATTGTGTGAGGGAAGAAGAAGAAGAAGAAGGAAGCCATGGACAATGGTGAGTGAAGCTTCAGCTTCTTCAGAGATTAAATAGAGCGACGAGGAAACCAAACAACTTCCCAATCTTATCAAATTATTTTCTTTTTCTTTTTTTTTCCTTTAAATTTAAGAATTATTACAATTCATGACGTCATTTCATTAAAAATAAGAAATTCTCAATTTGTGGGGACAGTTTAATTTTTATCGTTTATTATTCTTTAACAAAATATTTATTTTAAAATTTTCATTTTCTAATATAATTTTATTTAATATTTTACTAACTAAAATTTTAAATTTTTAAAATTAATATTATAATATAATTTTTAATAACTAAAAAATTACCCGATAATTCTAATATTATAATTAGAGTATCAAAAATAATTAATTTATTTTTATAGTATAGCCTTAAAAAATATATATTTGGGCATGTGTTGAAAATATATTTATAATAATTAAGAC